TCTCACACACACTCTCACACACACTCTCACACACACTCTCACACACTCTCACACTCACTCACACACACACTCACACTCACTCACACACTCACTCACAATAAAACTTCACACAATAAAACTTCACACAATAAAACTTCACACAATAAAACTGTCATCGGTCTGTCAATTCTGTCATAGTGTTTTATTTTTATACCATCATTTATTCACTCAAAAGTTGTTTTAAACCTGAACGAGTTTCTTTCTTCTGCTGAACATAAATGCTATTTTGAAGAACGTGGAAAACCAAACAGTTGCTGGTCCCCATTGGCTTCCATAGTATTTTTTTTCCTGCTATCAAATTTAATGTTGGACCAGCAACTGTTTGGTTACCCACATTCTCCAAAATATCATCTCTTGTGTTCAGCACAAGAAAGAAATTAATACAGGTTTGGGACAACATGTGAGTGAGTAAATAATGACAGAAATTGCATTTTAGGGTGAGCTATCCCTTTAATGACAGTCGGCAGCATGTTTAGTACTGTCTCTTTAAGACCAGCACTCATCTAATTTACAGACACGCATTATATGAGAATAGAAGCCTCGAAAAGTTGTGGAAATTAATCAAATCTGAATTTTTAAAGGGTTTTGTAAATCTTTGACAATTTCTAAAATGTTCCTACAAATTATTTACAGAACATCCATATGCACAAAATATTTTCCTAAATACATCCAATTTCATAAATTGCTGTCCATCCTAAATTCAAGCAAAAATATTTATCTGAATTAATTAATTGCCATAACATCACAAAGCCCATTTGCACTTCATTAATGCATATTGTGATAGTTATGATTGACATCTTGTCTATTCATCTTTGTTTTAACCCTCATCTGTCGAAACTAATTTTTAAAGATTTTTAAAAAATTGAGCGTTGATCGTTATGGTATGAGACTTTGTTACTTTTGTCACAATTGCACCTTGAATGCACGAAAAAAAATTCAAGTGATTTCGACCAGTTTAAATGGGTGTTTTTTTTTACATGTTTTGATACATATCTGAAAGCCTTGAGATATATCTGAAAGGTTAATGAAGCCGCAAGTTGGTGTAGTTTTAAAGATTTCACTTGTTTGGCTCATTTAAGAATCTACATAGGATTCAATAGGGCCCTCTAGTGGCTGTAATCATAAAATGCAATTTTATGTCATTTTTCCCCACCAGATGGCATCAGAGACACTCAGTGACCTAGGTCCTGATGGATCATCATGTTTAAAGTATAAAAATGCAGAAATTGTGTCTTTCTTTGTTTTTTTGTTTTTTGGTGAAAAAATTTATAAAAATATGCTCATTTTCATAAAAATATCCAAAATTAAGTACTTATATTTGGACTATTGTAGCCTGGTCGGGTTGTGCCGCTGCGGAGTAACACATACCTGTGTGAATCGCCATAGACAAACTTAGAGAAGTAGCTCCGGTTGAAATGTTCTTCCGCGGGATGTGTGCAGTTCTGTTTATTAACAGCTAGAGCGCCAAAAGTTACATAGTGCTGCTTTAATAATCTCCATAGGATTCTATAGGGCCCTCTAGTGGCTGTAATCATAAAATGCAATTTTATGTCATTTTTCCCCACCAGATGGCATCAGAGACACTCAGTGACCTAGGTCCTGATGGATCATCATGTTTAAAGTATAAATATGCAGAAATTGTGTCTTTCTTTGTTTGTTTTTTGGTAAAAAAATTTTATAAAAATATGCTAATTTTCATAAAAAATATCCAGAATGTAATGTGAATAAAATAAAAATCACCAAAAAATTATAATAAAAAAAAAAAACTACATACAAAATTATAAAAATGGACCAATATAAGCTTTCTGGACCCAAAAAAAAATTAGTGTCATTTTTGGCCCTCGGGTCATTTTGACCCACGAGGGACACTTTTGTTATAGGTTCGGGAGAGACGGATGAGGGTTTTAATAAACAATGGTGTATTTTTTTCATTACTGGTATATATATATGAATGCAATAATTTGTACACATGCTCCTCAGTCGCTTCAGTGTTTGCCTTTCTAAATCTTGATTGGTTCCACGTTTTAAGGATCAAATCTGATTGTACATGCATTTGTTTATGCATGCGTCAAACTTGTTTAAATTTCAACTCTAATAATTTTAGTGATATATGTCATCTATGATGTAATGTGGAGCATTGTGACCGGAGTGGCGTCTGGGTTGTTCTCGTGTGTGTTCAGGTGCTGGAGGACAATGATTACGGCCGCGCGGTGGACTGGTGGGGTCTGGGAGTGGTGATGTACGAGATGATGTGCGGACGCTTGCCCTTCTACAATCAGGACCACGAGCGGCTCTTCGAGCTCATCGTGATGGAGGAGATCCGTTTCCCCAAGAACCTCTCGCCTGAAGCCAAAGCGCTGCTCACCGGCCTGCTGAGGAAAGACCCCAAACAGAGGTCAATCTCATCATATATATATATACAGCGCTGGCCAAAATGATTCAAACACTAGTATTCTCAGCAGCTGAAAATGGTTTTAAGTCAGTTATTGCATCCTCATTTTACAGCATAAGTGCCTAAACTTTTAACAGCACTGTAGCTTTGCAGGAGGTTTCTTGAAGCGTCAGTTCTTCTGGATTGAGTCTGTCTCAGTTTCTTCATGTGACTCCAGACAGACTGATGATGATCAGATCACATCTCTGTGTGCAGCACTAACATATATCTCACTGCATTATTACAATTAATGGCTAAATTAATGTTTGGAAATGTAAACTGATATTTCCTACCGACACACTACAGCAAAAGATAGAAATAACTGACTTAAAACCATTTTCAGCTGCTGAGAATACTAGTGTTCGAATCATTTTGGCCACCGCTGTATATGACTGGAGCTCATCATGATGTGATCAGGTGACATTGTGAATGCTTCTGATTGGCTGCAGGCTCGGAGGCGGAGCTGATGACGCCAGAGAAGTGATGGCGCACAAGTTCTTCTCCGGTATTCACTGGGAAGACGTGCTGCAGAAGAAGGTGCTTCTGATCGTGAGCTTGTGTTGAAGGGTTTGGGTGCAGATTATGACATCTGGTTTTTGTTTTTTCTGCAGCTGGTGCCGCCCTTTAAACCGCAGGTGACGTCCGAGACGGACACACGCTACTTTGACGATGAGTTCACAGCGCAGAGCATCACTGTTACACCGCCAGACAAGCGTAAGCCCAAAGTCTACATAGTGGCACGTGTGCAAGGGAAAAAAAAGACCCTTAGTTTTTATGAAATTTAAGGTCATAAAAACTCTTAAACGGTCTAACAAACGTCTTAAACTTAAGTATATAATGGAAATAATATGAGGTGGGAATAAAGCAATAAGCCCCGTGAAGCCGTGGTTTACAGTGAATTTATAACAGCTAAGGAGTGTTGTTAGGCACGACGCGAAGCGGAGTTAGCTGTTATAAATTCACTGTAAACCATGGCTTCACGGGGCTTATTGCTTTTATAAAACGGTTATTCCATATACGTAGTAAGGTTTCACAAAATAAAACAGAGCAAATAAAGTGTAATGATATTAATAAAAACAGTATTCTTCCGCCAAACAATGTAGCTCCTCAGAAACAGTTGTGGTTGCAACAAAGTGGTTGCTGAGCAACAGACAAACGTAAACAAAGGTGTATGTTACTTTGTAGAGTAATTTACAACAGCTTCGAACGCGGCTCAGCCAATCAGAATCAAGCACCGGAACTATCTGTTTTATAAACTATATTTTATTCCTTTTACGAGCAAACACAAAGTTTATTAAGGCAGCGCAATAGATTTGCAAGCATATGCAAAGTTTCTCAGAGGAATACAAATATTTTATGAGTGAACAAATGTTTCGGAAGAGAACGCAAATGTTTCTCAGGGAAATGAAAATGTTTTTATGAACAAACGTAAATGTTTAAGAACAAATGCATATGTTTTCCAAATGAAAGCAAATGTTTTGCAAAGGAACAAACATTTTACGAACAAATGCAACTCAAATGTTTTACAAACTAACGCAATTTTTTTTTACGAACAAACATGTTTTGTAAACACGCAATTTTACAAAGAAACAAATATGATTTACGGACGAAAGCTAATTTTCTGCGGACAAACGCAAATGTTTTACAAACTAATGCATATGTTTTCCGAATGAAAGCAAATGTTTTGCAAATGAATGCACATTTTGCAAACTCAAATGTTTTAAAACTAAAATGTTTTACGAACAAACAAATGTTTTGCAAACAAATGCAATTGTTTTACAAAGGAATAAATATGATTTACAGACCAAAGCAAATTTTTTTGAGGACAAACGCAAATGTTTTACGAACTAATGCACGTTTTACGAATTAACGCACATATTTAGCAAACAAACGCTTATGTTTTATAAATGAACGCAAATGATTTGCAAACAAATGCAAATGTTTTAAAAGAAACAAACATTTTATGAACAAACGCACATTTTGCAAACTCAAATGTTTTACGAAGAAACATGTTTTTCAAACAAACGCAGTTGTTTTATGAAGGAACAAATATGATTATGATGTCAAATATGACAGCTAAGGGAGGTTTCCGCTTCGCTTCGTGCCTAACAACACCCCTTAGCTGTTATAAATTCACTGTAAACCACGGCTTCACGAGGCTTATTGCTTTATTTTTTCTTTTAACTCTTTCCCCGCCAGTGTTTTTGCTGATTTTCACTAAAATCTCACGGCCCCCAGAATATTTTGTTGTATGAATATCTGAACATGCAATACAGCAAAATAAAGAATCATTATTTTGATTTATTCAAAAAATCTGTATTATTCTAGCTTCAAGCATTGCTTTTTTTATCAACACTTGAATGTAGGTAGGTTTCATTAAAAAAGCTGAGAAAATCTCATTTGTATCAAACACTACATCTGGATCATATTCAGTAATATTATCAAAGCAAAGCTGCAGTAGATGGCTTCCATCAGTGCTCCCAAAGCTTCACAGACCTTTAACACTTTCTGGATCCACATTTCACTCGCTAGCGTTAGACAGGTTTCATTTATACGCGGTTAGTGTTGATGATCGCATTGTTTTTCATATGCATATGCTTACATATGAGA